TTATTAGGCACAATAACAGATTAACAACAATAAATAATAGTCAAACAGAACAATGATAATTTGCTGTAATAAAAGTTGTGACTGATATAAGATTTGTTTTTACTGTAGGTCTTAACAATTTCAGTATATCAGATTTTTTAAGTTTCATATAAATTTTTCCTTTTTTTTTTCACAAGTTGAGAACTTTTATCTTTTCATTTAAATAAAACACTTAATGGTTTCTCTGTCATATATTTGAATTGCTAGACTCACTATTTTTGTACCTTAGGACCATTATTAAGTGAAACTTATGAATTGTTGATATCTGGAATTGACGGCAGGTAATTAAAACCGAGAAAAGCTAAACTGTGGAGAATGTTATCTCAAAGGAATGGATCCTACACAAAGGGGAACTGTTAAGTTCTTAATTGGAATCAAGAAGCCCTTTCAAATGAAATTCTGACATTTGGTCAGTTTCTGTAAAGTGGGTCAGTCAAAGCAATACTTGAGCATCTTCTCATATAAAATAGTAAGCGGGAGGTGGTTTCTCTTTTTAATCTTCATTTTAGAGACCAAGACAAGCTTTCATATTTGACACATGATAGTAATTTGCAGAGCATCATCATCACTATATTTTACAATAATCTAGAGTATTTTACTTTCTATTAAGAGCTGATGCTTATTAATCTTCTATGTGCCATGCCCCTTCAGGATATGAGAAATCATGGCTCTCCACAACTTTGTCGTTTTTAGCTTTTAGCAAATTTTGTTTTGTTGCTATTTCTCCCAATCCTTGTTCAACAACCATTTACACAATCTCACTGCCTTTATGTGCTGCTTTCCCCTGTCCCAATATATCCCATGTGTGTCAAATTTTCTAAGCCCTCTTTCCACATTCTGTACTTTCATCTGCCTCTTTCTGATTCTAAGTATACATGTCCTTTTTGTTTCCATATTCCATGAAACTTTGTTCACTTATTCAGTCCATGGTATTCTTAGCATCCTTCTATAGAAGCGTATTTCTACTGACTCAAGTCTCTTCTTCATCTGGCAGGAGATTGTCCAGCATTCACTGCCATATAGGAGGACCAATATTGCATAACAGTACAGTACTCTTTCTTTAATGAAATTTTTCTGTTTTTTAATACATTGCTTAGCTTTTGGAAGGCATCTTTTGCATTATTTGAATGTGCCTTCTGTACCTAAAAGGAGGTAAATCATCAGGAAGTATCTATCATGATATAGGGGATGATGCAAATGCCTGTGACAAAAGTAACATGGGTTTACAGCCACACCACTGAAAAACCAGTTCCTGTACGATTACTGAAGTTAAGCAATGTCAAACCTGGTCAGTACCTAGATGGGTGGCCACTTGGGAATACCAGGTGGTGTAAGCTTGGATGTGCAGGAGGTGTAATGGATAATGTCTCAGAACTGTTAATTGGAGAGCTGAGCTCCAATTCCAGTTGGGTTCGTTACATTTACTTATGTGCAAGTAACTTTGGGAAGGGTATGAATCCACCCCTACTTCCCCCAGCTATGAGATAATTAGTAAGACTTGTATCCCTAAAACCCAGTATTATCTTAAGAAAAAAAAAATGTACAAAATATTTAGATTTCTGCATTAAATAACCCTTAGAGGTTGACATGTTGCGGAGCAAAAAGAACAAACCAAAAATAACGGAAAATCCTCTGACACTCTTCCTTTAGGTCAGCGGGAAGACACAATCATGTGTATTTATTTCTGCAGCCAAGGAAATTATGAAGACTTTGAAAGGATAAAAAGAAATGTACTGAGAAACGGGGATTTTTCACTGCACTCTGAACATTCCTGAAGCAAACTACCAAACACTTGACTCTCTCAACAGCTGTTTTAGATAATTTAATGAAATCTGAATTCATTGTTATCACCCACAAATCTCTTGGCTAAGTGGAAATGGGATGACTTGGGATAGTAGAGAGGGGGTGATATTAGAGAGAGAGAGAGAGTGGACTGAGATGAACAAGTATTCAAACAGATTATGTCTAATTGGGCAGGATTATCTGTTCATATGTTAATAGTTATATCAAGATCACAATTAACACTAATTGTAGTAGTAGTAGTAGTAACAATATAAGCAGGAAGACAGATGATGATGATAATGATGATGATGATGATAGCAAATTTTCACTTCAAAAGAAACAGTGATTGGAAGAAGACTCTAAAGTAAAGAAGAAATAAAAAATGGAGGATTAAGAGAAAAGGAAAATGAAAAGCAGATCTATAACAGGGAAGGGAGAGTGGGGGGGAGTGTTGGCCAAGTAGTTTGTGCAGTAATGGCCGAGGTGATTCTAGCAGTGGCTATATTATGATAGTGGTGTTAGTAATGGCAGTGGTTTAGCCGAGGCTTCTGTCCACATTTTCCTGGCATATTGATCAATTTTTCAAGCGACTTGTCAGTATTCTCACTAGCATCTGCTAACAGAAAAACTGAGGGAGGTAGGGGGCGTCAACTGAAGAGTCCAGTGCAGTGTGTGCGTGTGTACAGGCATTGGGGAGGCAGAGCGCAAAACCCCTCCCCTCCTTACCAGTGCTGGTCACAGCAGCAATGTAGGGTTCAGAGAGTAAATAAGGTAAGGGATGAGAGAGAGAGAGAGTTAGGGGAGATATGAAAAGTATGGGTGTTCGGTGGCAGTCTGTTACCACAAATCAATAATTTTTTTTTCCAAAGAAAATTGTAGCGAGCATGGGTGGCGGAGAGGAGAGTAAGGAGAGAGGTCATGACAGTGAGAGCAAGTTGAATGGAAAAATAAAGAAAGAGGAGGTTGGGGCGTAGATTGAAAATAAAGTGGGAAAAATTGAGAGAGAGACACACACACAGAAAGGCAGACAGAGTGGAAGGGAAGAAAGAGAAAAGAGGAGGGAAGAGAGCGAGAAAGAGAAAAAAGTCTTTACGTTTTCCTTATCCTGTCCGGCACCTCCAACCCTGAGAACTACTCCTATCCCATTTTGCCCTGGCCTGCCCTTCATTGCGCTGCCCCCATCACCCGATTTTTTTTTATATTCTACGCTCTTATAGTAAGTACTATCTTTCCTTTTCCGTCTTTTTTCCCTCCCAGGCAGTAAATCTCCGCACGTCGGCTGCAACTGGATTAATATGATGTACACGGGAAGTATAAGCTGGTTGATGGGGGCCGGGGGGAAAAGGGATTTAGAAAGATATACAGATAATTAAATGGAATAAGAGAGGGAGAGAGAGAAATGAGCATATGGAGATATACATACAATATGATACAATGCATTTTGGGGATTAAAAATGAAAAGAATTCGTTGAAAGATTACGTAGATGCGTAGGTAGACAAGAAGGAAAGCAGGTAGGTAGTAAAAAGGTCGGTTGATTTACAGATGTTTAATAACACTTGACTTGGTAATGCAGATTTTACAAGAAAATGTACTGGCTCAAGAGAGGGTGGGATGTGAATGAAGGATTTGTGTAGTTCTGAACAACTCTTACTAGGCCTGAACCCGATACAGCTGATTAAAGAAGAATTGCGTAAAAATAAAATACAGCAGGAAACTTGCCTAAGAAAAAGTGAGATTATGCACAGACAACACACGATGATAACATTTGCGCGCACGCGCATACAAACTCGCATGTAGCTTAATAAGATACTGGAAAATGAAACTAAAAGTTAGTTTTAAATGTATACACAAGATAAATAAATTAAAAAAAGAAGGGTAGATATATACGGGTATATATACGGGTATTGCAGTCATATCAGGGTATGCTGACGCTCAAGAAAAATAAGGTACCTGATCCGTGATGGTACATACATTAGCTAGCATAACGAGCAAACATTCATTTTCTCTCTCGCTCTCTTATACATCTATTTGGCTATATAGCTTGTAAAAAAGGCAGGATCATGTCATTTATGATTTTTCTTTTTTTTTTTTTTTTAGGTATGTATATTTTACGTAAGTCGCACATGGTCGTATGTGGGTCCGAAGTCAAGTAAAGAATGAGGTTGGTCTTATCGGTACGTGGTTAGATAAAAAGCTGGTTGTTCGAGGTAGGTAGTTTGTACGAGAATAAGTTATAAGAATAAAGTAGGTTTGGATTATTGGCCAAGAGCGAGTTAAAAAGAAAAAAAAAAGTAAGAAAGAAAGTAGTCCAACCAATAATAAGTAAAAGTTGTATAATCTCTTGTCTTGAAAGGGAAAGACAAGAATAAATAATGGATTCCTAGTTTCTGAATAAAATCCAAAAGCCGGATTTGTTTGCTTTAGTACATCACCGAAATATGCCAATGGAATATTAGATAAAACAGAATGTGTTCCCTTATGTCGTTTCTATATTTTCAATTGTTAATACCCATTTTAGCAACAAAAAAAAAAAGAAAAAAAAAAAAACAGGAATTTGTGGAGAGCCGTGATCGAACACGTTCTGAAGAATATTCTTTTGTTAATTTAAAAAAAAACTAACGAGGGATGTTTTCTCGCAATGCAAGTGACCTGGGATTGTTCAGCACAAAAGCTTCAAAATAACTACGTATCGATAAGAGCAGTACAGAGGTTTTATGAAACATCATTTCATATTAATATCAAATGCAACAGTTAATTTGTACATTATATTAGACATTAATTACTGGTTACTGAGAGAGGGCGTGAGTGGGAATAGAGGCAATAATACATTCAGAGTAATAATTTAAATGTCTATTAGAGAAGTTCGTTTCAATAATGTTGAAGAACTAAATTCTCTTTCTTTCAGCCATTATCACAAGCGAGATTTTGCTTTACTGAAACGGCATCGTTAGATTTCATTCTGCCAAAAGTCACGGTCTTTAGTTTGCTTTACTGAAACGGCATCGTTAGATTGCGATTTCATTGTCTTGAAAGTCACGGTCTTTAGTTTGCTTTACTGAAACGGCATCGTTAGATTGCGATTTCATTGTCTTGAAAAGTCACGGTCTTTAGTTTGCTTTACTGAAACGGCATCGTTAGATTGCGATTTCATTGTCTTGAAAGTCACGGTCTTTAGTTTGCTTTACTGAAACGGCATCGTTAGATTGCGATTTCATTGTCTTGAAAGTCACGGTCTTTAGTTTGCTTTACTGAAACGGCATCGTTAGATTGCGATTTCATTGCTTTAAAATTCACAGTCTTTAGTTTGCTTTACTCAAACGCCATCGTTAGATTGCAATTTCATTGTCTTGAAAGTCACGGTTTTTAGTTTGCTTTACTGAAACCCGTAATATAAGATTACGATTTCATCGTCTTTAAAATAACAATTGTCAATATAAAAGGCATTGGCTACAATATTAAGAAAACTCATAATGTACGATTGTCGGCTGTACGCTGTTTCAATTGTAAATATTTCATATTGCATTGAAAAGTGCGGACCATTTTTCCTATTATCGCAGCACCAAGGTATTTACTAAGTTTAGCTTAGTCTCGTACAAGAGTGCAAAGGATGAGCACCCATTAAGGACCCAACTCTCTACAGTAGTAATGATCTGAGAGCTTGTTAACCACTATTCCATTACTAGGAGTTCACCATAATCTAATTATTCGTATATGGGATTTGATAATTTTAAGTTATAACCTTCTGCATCTTTTAGATGTGGGAATTTCAGAAATTCATTTTAAACCTACAACAAAGCAATGATCTCAATAGAACTAGCAGTAAATGTCGTTAGATTCTGGACAATTGAAGTGTACGGAATATTTTTTTTTAATTTTAAAGCTATTAGATTTGTGGTCTGTAGGTTCGAGTCATGTCATTAGTTATTCTATATTGCTTTTTTTGGTTGAAAACTAACAATAGAGAAAACAATCAATCTATACTTATAAATCATTTTATTATGATTATTCGCAGCGAATTCATTAATTAAATTATTAATTTCTCGCTATATAAAGAAATGCATAAATTAATCGAATTCATGAAGAATCCAGCATTTCCAGCAGAATGAGAGAATTTGTTATGTTCTTTCAAATGTTGTTAAAGGTTGACAGTTTTATGAGTAATAATGGCGTCCATCAGTTTTCTCGTGCCCCTTTTCTTTCCCTTACAGTTCTTTTTTTTTTCTTTATAGTTTTTTTTTTTTTTTTGGTCGATTGGTGAGGATGATATTTATTTCCGTCTCTGATCTCTTTTCCGTCATATATGGTGAGTAAAAGTTATTGTAAGGAGAGGCTGAAAAATGTTATCAACAAATGCGCAACGTATCCAGTTACTATTTCATGGAATATATCAGACAAGTGTATTATTCATCTCTCTTCAAAGACTACTTGCAGCACGAGTCTTTGACACTAGGTCCTGCAATTTTTTTCTGAGGTATCAATAATTATATATATGTTGCAAAAAAATAGATACATCGAAGGAAATTTATTTCTCTGGTTGATTTTTAATAACTACAAATTTCAAAAATATTTTAATATAACAATAAGGGAAATATCATCATTATTGGTAGTACTATATTACCAGCAGCAGTTATCTACCTCTAGCAAACGTAAAAACATAGGAGAGCTCGTTTTATATTTGTGTGTTCAAAGTAACGACTTCCTCTCTTCAGTTTGCTTTAGCGTGACCACTGACGGAAAACAAACGAACGAGACAAAAATGTGACTCTGACTTTTCAAATAAAAATGAAAAGAAAAAAAACTGCCGCGAATAAGAAAATAACAAAATGTTAGGCACATCGAGAGAAAACCGGAAACGTATTAGCCACAATATAGAAAACAGCAAAGACATATAACATAAGTTCGAATTTATGGAATAATGACAATACAGACAAATCTCCCATCAACGGACTGCGGATGCAACGGACAAAATCTGCAGGTAAAATAAAAATCCAAATCGTCAGCGATGTATTTCAAAATTTGCGGGCATAGCAGAACGAGTCTTATTAATTCTCAAAGTGACCGCTTGGCGGCAGTAGCGGGCCTTTCAATTGTAAACAAAGATGGGTGCGTGAGAAAGTAGCTGCGAGAAATCTATTATTTTTGTTATTTTGATTAATATATTAATTGTTCTGCCTTCATCATAGTATCGAAGCAGAAGGAAAGTGTAAAAAGGAAGCATACTAACCTAAGTATCAGTGACAAATTAGTTTCTTCCATCTACGGAAAAAATCGGCTTTAACGGTCCACACCCTCCGCATATTAGTCAGTTGATGAGAGATTTGTTTGTACTTCATTATTGTAGTTCATTATTGAGTAAACAATTATTTGTAATTATTTAGAAAATAAATTTTAATCACTGCAATCCTTGAAAATTATCAAACATCATAAGTTATGCATAGAGAGCGTAAATTTAATTTTGCTTTTAGTTATCTCCATAGTCTTCAGTGAAAACTAATTTTTTTTAAGTTGAAAACATTGTGATGAATCTTTGTGCGAACTGTTAAACATTTTATATTTTATTTTAGATCTTTCATCTAAAATGATCGAAAAGAAATATATATAATTTTGAAGATACGTAAGATAGAAGCTCAGATTGAGGAATCGGAGAGGTGAGTTCGAATTCCAGTCGAATCCATTACATTCACTTACGTGCTAATACCCTTGGGAAACGTATGACCCCTCTTCTTCTTCTCCCAGCTATAGATAACTAGCAGGACAGACCGGGTCCTATAGCCTTGGATAGCAACTGGTCTACCACAGAAAGAAATGGCAACCTACAGCGGGGGAAAGAAAAAATCTGCCTCGTCAGTCATGTATCGAAAGATACATGATCGCCTAAGCGTGTATCACGCATAGCACAGAACTGACTGAATTGCTTATATTAACCAGAACATTTAATTAATATCCATCATACAAAAAAAAAAAAAAAAAAAAAGAGAGAAGGAAACCCTGTTGTTCTCAATTTTTATGCGCTCTTTTCATATTTCAGAACGTCATTCCAACCATTCAAGATGGTCCGATTCAAAGGGTTTATTGTAGAATTGTAGTTTCTAGAAAGATCAATATTCCAAGAATTTGAATCTGCTAATCCGTTGTCTCCTCTCTGAAACTTGAAAATTAAAAAGTGATACACAATACCCACTGTCGTAGCTTCACCCACGAATCTATGGTACGCCCCCCCAACTCTACTATATCTCAATTTTCATAAGGTAGTATTCGTACAAAATACCAATTTTATTGCAACCTAATTATATACAATAAGAAATCATATGCAATATAGGTGACCAATTCAACTAGAAAAATTGAAAATAAATACACTGTATCTAAATGTCATAATAGATCATTCCATCTAAAAGAAATCAACGTGTTGTAATTTTTAACATCAACTTGAGTTTTTCCTTGTTAAAAAGCTGAATAATTTTAACACATTAGATTTTTTTTTGCAACACGTGATGAAATCTTCACAGTATTGTTGAACATTTTTGTCGAGATTTACAAACTGTACTCTTTGTTCAATTTCGCAAACCAATCGATGAAATTTTGAATAAGCTAATTTGTTTGGAAAAATACTTTGACAAAAACCATACTTCGCGGTTTTTACGCACCCTAGTAAATCCAAATGTACTTTCCACCCACTTACCTGTTTGCATTTCTCCCAAAAATTTGGTTTTCGATCGATTAATGTATGGTTAGTTTAGAGGATGAGACATATGGACGGACTAACGGAACTCACAGAATTTGATAGATAGATAGATAGATAGATAGATATGAACAGACTTAGATAGATAGATATGAACAGACTTAGATAGATAGATATGAACAGACTTAGATAGATAGATAGATAGATAGATAGATAGATAGATAGATATGAACAGACTTAGATAGATAGATATGAACAGACTTAGATAGATAGATATGAACAGACTTAGATAGATATGAACAGATTTAAATAGATAGATATGAACAGACTTAGATAGATATGAACAGACTTAGATAGATAGATATGAACAGACTTAGATAGATAGATAGATATGAACAGACTTAGATAGATAGATAGATATGAACAGACTTAGATAGATAGATAGATAGATATATATGAACAGACTTAGATAGATAGATAGATATGAACAGACTTAGATAGATGTATAGATATGAACAGACTTAGATAGATATATAGATACGAACAAACTTAGATAGATAGAACATTATAGATAAAAAAATAGTGAGTTTTATATAGTGTTTTTTCTAGATTTTGCATGAGCAAAACAAATTCACGGATTTGGACGAAAAAGAAAAAAGAAAAAGAGCCAGAATTACATCAAAATCCGCGTCAACTTTTCATCCTTTAATAGTCAATTGTGTTTAGTTTAATTTGTAATGTATATAAATTTAGTTAAAAAAATGCAAATGTTGATAAGATAGTGGGGATCCCAAAGCATTGCCTGTGATTCCCAATTAAGCTTGGGAAGTCGAGGGGTTCGTGTGTATTCGTCACAAAGTCTTTTTACACTGCCAGTAAATCAGATCGTGGGCCAAGGAATCGAAATATATAAATCCTTTTACTCTATTATATCTTTGGGTGTATTTAGTTCATTTGGTTAATTCAAATTCTATAATTCAGAGATTTATGGCCCAAATCTTGGTTCAATTTTGTGAGGTTCACCTATCGCCGCTCTTTTGTACAGGAGTAGATGTTTATCCCTTGTTTCGTGTTCATGATTGAGTTTGCTCCTTCTAAAGTCTTTTTTCATTCTCTTTCACTCCCAGTAACCCCTTGCATCTTAGGTAAATTATTGCCTTGCTTGGAGTGAACTGATTAAAAAAAAAACAGTCTTATGAGATGACTATTGAATCATTCTTGAAATTTGATAATTTGAAAATCAGTTCAGATGTATTCGCATATTTGCTGCTTTTTTTTTTTTAATCATTTCACCCAAAACAAAATAATAATGTCACTAAGACACAAGGAGTTACTGAGAGTGAAAGAGAATGAAAAGACTTTAGCGAGGAGAAAGAACAATAAAACATAAGATTCAGGAAGACAGAAGATGGCGATTGACGTTGTATTTAAATTTTTGAAGATCGTAGGTAGCAGGAAAATAAGAAACTGGAAGAGAGTTCAAGAGACGAGAACAGAAACTATTAGAATAGAGCTTACGGATATATCGAGCTAATTCAACAGTGAAACGATGAGGTCTAGTTACTAATCTAGTAGTACGCTTAAATTCATGAGGTCGACGTACTAAAGAGGAAAACTCATTAAAACAATTGTCATGGAAATATTTATTGAAAAGACAGAGGGAAGTCACATCACGGCGGTGGGAGAGTAAATGAAGTCGAGATGCCAGGTCAGGGCCGATTACATTACAGACCATTTGGATTTTGTTGAGAATCTTGAGCTATACAACCAGGGCACCAGACCAGATATAGCAGCAATATTCAATGCATGAATGTATGGTAGACTTATAAATGTGCAAGGTGGAATTTGACGATAAAAATTGTCTGGCACGATACAATGAACCAATTTTCCTAGCAGCAGATCTAGCAATTGATTCAATATAATAAATAGTTTTCATGTCATTGGAAAACGTAAAAGCACAAGGCGCAATGAGTTACTCTCCTGGAAAGTATTTTCATTTTTGACAGATAAACCTTATTCATCTTAATTTTCATGTTCACACCCCAATGACTATCTATAGTTACATTATATTGTAAATGTATCTGCTAAATATCTCGTATCATTATCAATAACATTCAGCTATATTTTTTGTTTCAGATGTTATAATTGGGGGTACAAGTATTAAGATTCTGGTAATTAATTCAGGCATTACTTTAAACTTGGTATCTTATATTTTCAAATAAAACCCTAGAGTGGACGATCATAGTTATCGATTATGATGCGTACAACGTTGAGGAAAGTCTAACCCTCCAATCACTGGAAAAGGAGAGCTGGGATAATTGAATGAAGCTTTACATAAACTTCAGAAGACATCCAGGAGCTCTCGAGTTAATTAAAAACAAAACTCCTTTTGTTACATTTCAATATATAAAACAAGGATACCCAAAGTGTTTGATAAATAAAACGGGCCAATAAATAAACCATGATGACGTACGACTAAAATTCACCAATTTCCAATCAAATATCACTGCTGTTGTTACTGTTCATCAAACACCTCTTTTCCATTAATGATGTCAACCAATTCAATAAAAAGGTATATTAATCAATTTTTAATGCGTTTATTATTACTCATATCATTTATGAGTTTTTTCTTGCTATCAGTATTACCCAAACAAACATGTCTGCCATAGGAAGAAAACTAGAAATTGAAAAAGAAATAACAAAACCTTAAAAAAAAAACAACAACCTAAAAACAAATCATTTACACAAAGTCGTTCGGTAGGTTATTCGCTGCTTTTCTCTGTTCTTCTTGCATTCAACATGTCCCGTGAGTGTCAAATTTTCCAAGCCCACTTTCCTTGTTATGTTCTCTAGAAATTCCAACTGTCTGTTTCTGATGCAGTATAAGTGTCGTTTTTCATCTGTCTATATTTCTGAGACGAGGTACTGTAATTACTTTAATTATATTGTTTGGACTTGTACTCATTTTTAATGTGGTATTCACGACGTTTCGGCCATTGTACGCCCCGGCCTTCTTCAAGTGATATTTGTTGGAATTTCGAATTGAACCCTAGGGACACATAGCCCAGTGAACAAAGACGTTGGTTGATTGATCCAAGAAGTGACTTCACCCAAAGAGTTTTCAGTTCAATCCCTGGCCTCAGCGGAGAGAACAAAAATTTGGTTAAACAGGCAAATCAACTCAAACTGAGATATCCAAATGCATTGTACTTGGAATTAGAATAATCTACCCCCGTTGACAAAATAAAGGGTTTCTATTGGAATTTCCAACGAATGTCACCTGAAGAGTGCCGGAGCGTATAACGGCCAAAAAGTTGTGAATGCAACAGTAAAGATGAGGACAACAGTCCGAACAATGTAAATAGTGTCCTTTTTGTTTCTATTTTCTTTAAAACTTTACAATTTCTCACATGTTCAGTGCATAGTATTCTCGGTAACCTTCTATAAAACCATGTTTCTGTTGTCTCAAGTCTCTTCTTCATTTGTGAGGAGATTGTCTAGCATTCACTGCTATAAAAGGATCTAAACACACTGTTTATCCTACTAGTCCTCGATCCGAGAATTAAATATATGATTATGGTGTCTAAATTATAATTACCAATCAAAATAATGTTAAAATATCTGGTCCCAAGGAAGGATCTTGAGGTTTATAAATAAAGTTGATTATTTGGAAACCACCAGAAATTTCCTTCCAACCAGATATTAAAAAAATCATCAGTTAAATATTATTGATTTTTTTTTTCATTCCTGGATATTCCTTCTCAAATTATAGGTGCATGTTGACGCTGATGAGCGTTATCTGGCGAGAATACAGTACATTAATTGAAATATTAGTGCATGGATCAAACTTGAAGATATTAATGGAAATTATTTAAATGTAAATTTCAATAAGATCTGAATTTCTGTTTGGCAAATCTAGCCACCCTGGGTGCTCCATCTTATGCAAGAAGAAACGATGGTTAGTAAATACTTTAACAAAATAATTTTCCGCTGAATTTTTTAGATTAAACGTTGTTACTATTCGCTTTTTCAACCCGTTTCCTCGTCTTAGTTGCCTTCATTACAACTTTTTGGCCTCTGTATTTTCCGTCTTTCCCCCAGTGTCTTTCGTATTGAGTAAGCTTCCAGCAACATTTTGAAGGGAATTGTTTTTCTGATTCTCACGTATACGATACTCTCGCGTTACTGTACCTGTCACGTTCAGGGTTCTTCCAAGAAAATTTTAGAACACATAAACGTCAATTCTCCGTCATGGAGTCACCTTTTCTACTGATTCTGCGCATATTTCATTGCACTTAACTCGATAGTATCAAATGGAATCGTTTATTTGTTACCAGGGTGTATGGGTCTTTTATTCCTCTACTTGTAATGCCTGGCGTTCTTCCGAAGAAAATGTATAACTAGCGGCATTTCAAACTGTGTGTTATTTAATGCCGAAATCAAAATATTTTAACACAGTTTTATGAACACCATTTCATTATTCGGACTATTGTCCTCATCTTTGTTGCCAAATTTTATCACGTTTCGGCCGTTGTACGCTCCGGCCTTTTTCAGGTGGCTGGAACAGAACCCTTTATTTCGCTTGTTGGGGTAGGCTGTTCTAGTTCCACGTGTCGTGTCTAATGGATGTCAGTTATTAGTTATCTTCAAATTCTCCACTGCTTTAACCAGGTATTGAACTTCCAACTCTTTGGGTCCTGTCACTGGATCTAACTAACGTCTTTATCCACTGTGCCATGTGTCCTTAAGGACATCTGTGTATGAATTTCTGGGACTTTTAAACAATATCTCCAGCAACCATTTTTTTACCAGTGCTCATATTGCAATTTTTGCTGTTATCATTGCATTTTTTTTTAACCAGAGCTCATGTTGTAATTTTCGTTGTTATTATTATTTTTCTCTGACACTTATTACTGGTTCCCATATTGTATTCATTTCTATGCTTGGTCGGCTCAGGAGATTTTTGTGGTTTTATGACTTCAACTAAATATATTTTGAACGCAACTGTATGCCTTCAACTACAGATAAAATGTATTGTTGGTCATTTTACTATAAATATGTATTGTTGGTAATTTTCTTTTAAATAAATATGAATTGCTGGTATTTTTACTATAAAAATGTATTTTTATACTTTCATAGTGTTTGGTTTTTGTTTTGGGATTCACTATTTGCCCATAGCTGGGACCCTAACAGGTGCTATTACCCCGGATGATGGTGAACCTGAGAACAACATAGGAGGTGGTCCCACGCTCCTCAAAAACTCCAATCTCCCGATCAGAGGCCTTGCTGCCGGATGTAGTTTATCGTCATACCCAGGACTGTTAATAACTACTAATTCTTTAATGTTGACTTGTCTCTCTGAGAATGTTCAGAGGCCACAGTCGAAACATTGAGATTTTCCCTACTTTTTAATCGATTCAATTTTTTTAGTTCGATCACGTGATTTATATTCCCCGTCCACGAACGAAAGCTGCTTAGAAAAAAAAAAAAAAAAAAAAAAAGAAAAAAGAAAAAAAGAAAAATGGCTTGTGAAGAGTCTCAGAAAGTTTTCTGAATTTCCAACTCGTTTCTACTAATTGTGAAAACTGACGCATAAACAAAAATATAGCGGCAAGCGATCAGAAAAACAAAAACATGAAGCGTAAGTCTATATGGTTAGCTTCGTCTTCTGTCAACCGTAGAGCTCCTGTAGTTCAATCGGAAAGGCAGCTGATATGGTTAATCAAGCCTTCCAAAGCATAGGCATGCTAGTTCTAATATCATCTAATTTAATTATAAAATCATCCGATCTGCGTTATTTAACGGTGGTAGAATGACGGTCTCAATAGATTCGATTAAAAACAATTAAAATTAAGATGAAAGAATACTAGTTAAAAAAAATTAAAAGGAAAAAAGAAGTAATTTTAATGATCTTTTCCCAATATCATTAAATTTATTATTTTAGCGAAGTTAAGCAGTGTCGAGACAAGCCAGTATGTAGATGGGTGACCGCTTGGGAATATCGGTTATTATAAGCGACCTCTTACAATCCAAATCATGATTCTGCTTTAAGTAACCCACAAAACGTTGACAAGCCGTAAAAAAATAAAATAAGTCAATCAATATGTTTTTTAGTGTATTTACAGAATGTAAAGACCCAGAAATGCAAAGTATGACACAAGGTCTTTTTTTATGAGAGTAGTTACAGTATGTCACAGTTCTTTTATATGCTGTGTTTCTTCAGGACGTGTGCGATCATGGTTCTCGACATCTAATTAACCCATATCTGGTAGGGCGGGGGCTGAGAGAAGTGAATTCATACCTTTTTTCCCGCGCATGTGAATATAACGAACCCGATTGGAATTGGAACTCAACGCTCCGATTTCCAGTTCTGAGCCGTTATCCATTACACTATACATACATCCAAGCTTACAGCACCTGGTATTCTCAAGTGGACACCCATCTGACTAGGCTCGAAGTTGCTTAACTTCGGTGATCGTACGAGCACCGGTATTTCAATGTGATGTTTCCGTAAGCACCATCATATCATGCTCAGTAAGATACAGTTCTGGTGATCATAGCAACCATGGAAGTTGTTGAAAATGTCCGCCCACATGATGCATGGGAATTATGTAAGCGGACAATATACTTCTGGAAAAACACCTCGCCTTCGATATTAGTGTGTAAAATTTTCATGCATACAAGACTACTACTACTACTACTACTACTACTAATGAAAATAATAATAGGACGTAGCAGGTGGTGTAATTTGGAACGACAAAAACAGTGAACCAAGTTCGAATTCCAGCCGAGTTCGTTACATTAACTTTCGCTCAAATACACTTGACAAAGATATGAACCAACTATGTATTAAATAGTAAGGCAAATTGGGCTCTCTAGCTGTGGTTGGCAAGGAGAAAGACAGCGTTGAATTAAAGATCATCTGCAATTCTGGCATAGCACATACTATGCAGCCATCGACAATATGCTGGATTTAGCAAGGACTCTGTAATGTCGACTGCATCGATGTATTGTTATTTATTTTAAAACTTATTCTAGGCAGAAATGGCGAGGAGCAGCTTTTTGATTCGATGAAAAGATACTCTGATTCAAGACACTACACTGATAATCAAATTTTAAACAGAAGTACCGATCCGTAATTTTTTTTATAAGCATTTTACCCCAAGCAATGCGGGGTGTCACTAGTAAGCAAGGGGCTACAAAGAGTGAAAGTAAGGGGAAAACTGGGTGTAGGGGGATTGAGGAAAGGATGAAAAGAAGAACGAGAATCAAGGAATCAGAAGATGTCGATTGACATTACATTTAATTTTTTGACGATTATAGTTATCAGGGAAGCAAGTAAGAGGAAGGGAGTTCCACTGTTGGGAAGTGCGAGAGAAGAAGCTGTTGGAGTAGAAGAGGCGGTTACATGTTTCAACAGTAAAATGGTGGGACCGCAATGCCAACCTAGTAGTACGCTTAAATTCATGCAGTCGGATCACCAGTGAAAATAGCTCGCCAGAGCAAATGCCATGAAAATATTTATAGAAAAGACAGAGGAAAGTCACATTACATCTGTGAAAAAGTGACTGGAGTCGAGATCCCAAGTCAGGACCGATCACATTGCATATCCGTCTTTGGATTTTGTCAAGAATATCGAGATGAACAGCGGGAGCACCAGACCATATATGGAAACAGTATTCCATGCATGGACGAATGGTAGATTTGTAGATGTGAAAGATGAACTCAGATGAGAAAAACCTGGCGCGACACAGAGAACCAACTTTCCTTACGGTAGATGCAGATATTGATTCAATGTAGTTGTTCCACCTCAGGTCAGTGGAAAACGTGAGACCAAGAAGGTGCAGTGAGGCGCTCTCATGGACTTAAGTTTCAACCATACTGACAGGAGGCAGGGAAGTTTCTCTATATTGTGTAAATGACAGCAGTTTCGTTTTGGATGCATTAAAATAAACCAGTCATTTTTTACGGGTACTATACTAACTTTTAAAATAAATTTGAAGTAGAAGAGTGCAAAACATTCATTTTATTGGAAATTTTATTTAACATTTGAATTACTAATGTTCATTATATGTTTTCTGACATAAAAGAATTTCATTTATCTAAACCGTTGTTTGTGTAGAACAAACAAAAGATTTGTTTCAAGTGGTAGAAGATAAATTCTGCAAATGCTATTTTTCTGTTGAAAATAAGCACATATTTCAAAATCAATGCAACCAAGCTGGGAAGAAAAACGATGATAAATACAAATGAAAATCGATTTTTTACACCAATCCATTTGTCCCTGTCTCATGTAGTTGAATTGCTTCTATTAAATCTATTCAGTATAAGTTAATATATCTTGGAAGATTATATATGGTCAAATCACGTTCGATAATCGAGGTTAAGCGTCGTCGAGCCAGGTCAGTACATCGAGTGGGGGTCTACTTGGAAACACTCCGTACTGTTATCGCCTAACGGCCGGTTCACACTCCTTTTCGATCTCTTGAATAGGAGTAGAGGTTTATTCTTTGTTTCCTGTTTAGGATTGGGTTTCCGGTTCCTTCTAAAGTCCTCTAATTCTTTATTATTCCCAGTAGCCTCTTGCGTCTTTGTGACATTATCGTTTTGCTTGGGGTGAATTAAAAAAGATAAAAAAAGGCATTTACGACCCGCCAATGTCATACCATCAGACTACTCAAATCGTATCCGGCGCAGGCGGTCTCCAATTATCTTGACTGATTCTTGTCTTTGGATCAAGACTGCCTGATGCTAAGAGCCGAAATAGTGTTGCGCAAGCAGCGAACGACTATAAAACAATGGCACGGGTACCACCTCATCCACCGCGGCCTGTTTGAAGGCTCCTCTCGTGCGGCTAGTAGGTGATTTTATATATATATATATATATATATATATATATATATATATATATATATAGAGAGAGAGAGAGAGATTGCTTAATATTTGCTATATTTATCGGGATGAGTGTTCAGTTGAGTGTTTATAGTTACAAATAGTGCGGACATCGGAATCAACATTGCATGATGACTGTCAGTTTCACGCTTTAATGTGATCTCCACACCACACTTGGCTTAAACATCGCATTAAAACTTGAAGCAGACAGTCACCAGGCACTGTTGATTCTTATGTACACAATCTCATATATATATATATATATATATATATATATATATATATATATATATACACTACTAATAAATGTGTATATCTATCTATATTATATATACGTATATATCATTAATATAAGTAAAAGGTTTGTTACCTTCAGCACCCCGACTCCAGAATTTCATAGACGGACCCGTCCATCCACTCCTCAGTGGGTATCAGTAATTGACTGCTTATACGTCGCGATTTTTCTTTTACCTATAAACTACATTAAATAAGATATTTTTATTGAAAATATTCTTAATCTTGTTTCTTAGACTAAAGATTAACAGAAATATTTCTTTTTCAAAATCCATATTGCAATATTACTGGGATAAAAATACCGACACTGTAACCTTCTGATGCAAAATTCTTAAATCATAACATTCTCTTATAGAAACGTCAATACGACGACAGTCTGAGATCATTATCTAATCTTACTCTGATAAATAACACATATATTTTGTTACCGAGGATGACCAGAAAATGGTCGAAATCACGAGAACCAACGATAAGAACTCCATACAATACCTGCATAATTATGAACCATTCATTCGTTCCCTTCTACGAAATCAAAAGGAAATACATAAAAAAATAAAAATAACAAGATATTTTTTGATAATTTTGGGTTATTGATTTTAGAGATGAGGAAATATTAATATACTTTGACTCTTTGATTTATTCGAACTCTTGTTCTCATCTTGTTTATTATAAATGTTATTACAGACTCGACGTTCAGGCTCGTACCCTCTGGTCATCTTCAGTTGTTTATTATTTTGGGTGATGTTGAATATATCGTGTCTTGGTTATTGTGTTATCTTTTTATCTCGTGGTAACTTGTTCGTTCCTGCTAAACTAGAGTATACTATTTCACAACTTGATCCATGGATTTAACTCCCGAACAATAGTTTTAACGAACTCCTATATTCATTATGTCAGAACTGTCCCGAAAGACATCAGTAATATATATATTTTGGAGTCTTTTTAAATCCAATGCCAGATGCCTATAACAACATCTACAATAAACAAGAGTAATAAATCTAAAAAAAAATCCCTTGTCAGTCGTATTCATTAATATGCATAAAGGGAAAAAATACTGCCACAACACACATTATATATGTGTGTGTTTGTAAGATTTTGGGAAGTTGGCTTGGCCAAGTACTGTTCAGCACTTTTTCGTGTGTGTTTGTGTCTGTGTGTATGTAAGAATTAATGGATTTATTTTGAATCCGACATTTTTTTAAAACATGTGCTTTTTAAGGAAAGTACATCACACAGTGCTTTCCATTAAAAGGAAAAATAAAGCTTTGCTTATTGTGAGGTTCTTTGTAGCAGAGCGGTAAAGCATACAGGATCAAATGGTGGTGGCCCCTACAAAGGGGGGGGGGATCGCAGGTTCGAACCTTGTTGGAGAACACATTTTCTTTACTATTTTACGAATGCACACTGATAAATAAAAATGAAGCGTCTATTTCAAATACAGTGTATCCCCTATAAGAATGCTTGAAGTAATATGTATGTATGTGTGTGTGTGTGTGTGTGCGCGCGAGCTCGCGCTATTTCCAGATTTCACAACGATCGATAAGTATTCTCATTTGAATTAATTCGAATCAATTTATTGTTAGGTTACATTTTCCAGTTAACGAAAGAGCTTGAGTCATAATACTACTTCTGCTCTGTGCATCTTTACCAGGGACGGTTTCCAAACTTTCACAAAAATCTGATACCGTTCATATTCATAGACTGAAGTCCAAAAGAAAGTGATACACAAGATGTTTTTGCAATCCAACATATGTACAAATGGACTGGATCGTAACGATGTAATAGGCCGTAAATATGTAGTGTAACTGTGGCGGCTATGGCGCGTGGTCAGGATGGGCACTAACGCCGAGGTGGTAATTTCTCTATCTTAGCGAAGCCATACCAAGCATATGGGAATTCCGGACAGATATTAACGATGTGTGAAAAATCCAAACACCTACAAGTACTGAACTGTCGGCAAGTATATTAACTGTATAATGAAGAAGAATACTGCATCGAATCATATCCTAATTCAACGCTGGTGCTGCTCAACCCATCAGTCAAGGAACTATGTCGTAGTAAACAAAGTATTTCATAAGGTTTATTAGTCGTTGATCACCAATGGTGCTATTATTGACCCTGTACAATCAATCGCGACACCTAACGAGGGCCATAGAATATCACTATTAGATCTTTGAATACAGGCGCCGAGTCACGTTTCCAACTTTTTGGGGCAGACGGCTGCGTTCGTTTGTAGAGGAGGCCATATGAAGTTATGGATCTGGTGGTGTCTGTATAATAGTGTGTTACATAGTTGTCTGCAAAAACCACTAG